ATATATATATATATTCTCCCTCCTTCTTTTTTTCCCTTGTCTATTACTCCATTGCGAACACCGCACCACGGTTCTTCCATTCCCATCCATTGCGGTGCATACGCAGTCCATACGTCCAGAGTGCATACAGCCATCCACCAACTCCCCAGAACATCAATCGAGCCGCAAATCGCCAGTGTAAAGGACCAAAGAAATCCTTTAACGCAAAGTGACCCATTCCAAACCAAATACCCGCAAACATGCGATCCACGTGTCGGCATGGGGTTTGCTGTTGAAAAGGTGCGTAGGGATCCTGCAGGCGTTTATCATTCCAACCCGCCCAACCCGCTGGACGGGCACGATAGTTTGGCTCGTGATGTCCATGCATGCGAAGCGTGTTAAACCGCATGTACGGTGCCGCGCGGTCAATAGCGGCAACAGGGGCAATAGCGTGAGGAGCGGCCTCCTGACCGCTACGGCGAAGAGCACTGGCGAGCATTTGTTTAAAGGTTGAGGGATGTTACTATTTCTTATTTATTTATATATATAAATATAAATATAGATATATATATAAATAAAGGCGCTGTGTCTTGTGGATAACTATTAGGGAGAAGATAACCCTAGTTCTTTTTCTTTTTTCTTTTTCCTAATATACTTTTTCTTCTTGTTGCTATTGGTTTTCTTATATATATATATATATATATATATATAAATATGGATTTCACCGGGTTAGAGAGAAAAAATTTAGAAACAGATAATAGAGAGAGAAGAATAAAGAAAAGATTTGTCCATTTTTTGGGGGTGTAAAAGTAGCAGAATCAATACCACAGATTATATATATATATAGATTGAGAGAGAGAATGGATTGGGAAAGTGATAAAGTATTTCAGAGAAGCATACAGGCATGCGGACATATACAAACATATATATATATATATATATATATATATACATATGATGGCTCAACTAAAAATAATTCTTTCATTGCAGTTTTTTTTTCTTTTTTCTCCCTCTGACTTTTTCCCCAATACTAAACTGAAAGCAATAATAATAATAATAATAATAATAATAATAATAATAATAATAATAATAATAGGGAATAATAATGGCAGTAGTTG